AGTTGAGAGGAAAAAAAAAATGGTGAAAGAAAAGAGGAGGAAGGAGGTTGAGAAAAATGAGGAATTTGCCACTCTCTGGTGTCCTCCTTATCGGTTGGTGGTTGTGCCTCTATTTTTCAAGGAAGCGGCTGCGAGAAAAGGAAGGAAAAAAGTGATAGACCGCTGGAGTTCCTGCGGGAGTAACCGAAAAGAAGAGCCTCGTCAAAGGAACAAAGGATGATAAATAGAGAGAAAAAAGAGTTGAGGAAATTTAAAGTACCTTGTGCCCACACAACCGTACTTTATCCCACTTCTTTTCTCTCCGCGGTTTCTCTCGAGTTTCTCACGACTTCGGGTTTCATCAAGTTCCACGAGTACTTGCAATAAATTCAATTTGTCGTGGGGTGAGACTGCTGAATGTCAACACTGTTTAGATTATTTTATTGGAACGACAATGAATTGCTGGAAATTTCCCATTGTCCTCCGGACAATCATTTAAAAATCCCTCAAGTTTCAATTTTTATCTCGTACAATTCATTCGTTAAAAAACGAAGTAAATTGGCGGGATGGACTGCCAAGTTTTTTTAATGAGCTGATTGTTCCATCAGAGCGAAATTAAATAAGACGAGGGTAGAAATTTAGGGTAAAAAGGAGTGGAGAGTGCACAATGGGTGTGAATCTCGTGCCAAAATCCATAGCCTCGTTATCCGTTGGCATTTCCATTTGCCAACTCCGTAATACTGACTCAATTGTACATGAAATATCCCCTCGAATCACGTATTCCGGGAGCTCACTGGAGTGTGAAAGAGAGCCTGTGGATTTTTTATTCCCTTCCCCTATCGAAACCGACAGGTGTTGATCTTCTCATCGTATTTTGGCAGTAACCTCCAACATTCCCTCCCCGTCATTGCATTTTATTTTTACTTCTTTGTATTGTATTTTTTTTTTTTTCTACTGTCGTGTCACTCGTAAGTGGCATGACGTACCGTAGCCAACGCTTTTGCCCTTGGTACCGTGCTATTTCCTGGTACTCACAGTCCACATGTGTCACATCGATTTTCAACTGCTCAGAATCATCTCCCGTCAAACTCCTTCTGCCCAACATTTCTTTATTTCCATCTTCAGTTTATTTTTTCTCAACACTTGGTCTCGCTTGAGTATTTGGTAGTCCAGCCGCACGATTCCTCGGAGTTGTGATGCTGAACACCAGCCAAGTGCAGTCGACTGAAGAAAAATAAATGAGTCGGAGAACCTCCAAGAACTTTCAAGGAAATCCCATAAATCATCCACCAAGGAGCCATTAAAATATTGCTCCAGATAAACCAGCATATTTGTTGCGTGATTTTATAGCTGTACTCTTGTATTTACGACGAATACCGAAGTAATTCAGCATGACGCACTCTTCGGGGATAATTTCAGCTTTGCATGTCCGGTTGTCATTTTTGAAAAAGAAAACGAAATTTCTTAATTACAATTCACTGGGTTTTTTTATTTTTCAATAATCATTTTCTAGGAAAATTAAATTTTATTCTGAATTACAACGAATTATCAATCAATAAAAAATCTTTAACTGCACATTTAATCACATATTCCCTTGAATCCGATAGTCATTATTAATTTTTATGGATTACCCGCACTGAGCCTGTGAGCTGTTCTTAAAATCCAGCAGTGGCTGTCACTTACTAAAAAAAAAGTTCCAAGAAATATAGGATAAATACCGATCAAAAAAGAACTTTAAAGCACACGTGACAACTATTTTCACGTTTCCCTGACATTTGAAAAGCGGCAAAAACTCGCGTAAATATAATGGTGAGGCCTCGCAATCCAATGGATCGTTTTACCCCTCCACGTGGCCATTACCCATGCATGCAAATGTACGTTATATATTTTTATTCTCCGAGTGACATGACTATCGATTTATCCTCAGTATCTCCACTCGATAAACTAGACTATCAATAGAGCAACCTTTAATCTCATCCAACCCGGCAATATTAATACACTTCATTCCTACCGGGGGACCTTGAAGAACGAAAGCTCGTCGACAAAGCGGTGACAAGAGGCAAAAGTCACCGGGTCAATATATGAAAACGGGAAGCAGAGGGATAATGCAATTGGGAGGAGTGAACCAATGAAAATCAAATGCATCTTTCGCCCTGATTGTTCTTATTTCACGTGAATTATTCAGGTGATGAGACAACGTCCATTGATTTTCCCTCTGCTGGGTCTTTTTTTTTTCACGATGGTCAAGGTAACGGCGACGAGACACGTATCATCGATCCATTGGAGGGGAGAGACAAACCGTTTATCAACGGGGATGCATACTTTTACATTATCATTTATTTTTTTATCGTTCTGAAGGTGTTATTCTAATCCTCAATCTCTCCCATCTGCCGATAGTTTAACGTCAGAGGATTGCCATGGCGAATTATTCAACATGAATCGTTTGAAAATCACTCCCTCGGTTATGAAATTGCCAATTCCTTCGCATTAACACTTTTCCACGTACTTACCGATTCGCTATTGCGCGTTACCACTGGGTGTAAACGTAACGAGTGATAGTGGTGCGCGATATGTCAGCCGCAGGTGCAGCCGACCAGTTCATGTAAAATCCCCGGTGGTGCGCTCGAAATTTATTTCTGCCCGCTAAACCTGTTAGTACAGAATCATTTTCCGTGAAAGTAATAAAAATATTAATAAAAATGAATATAATTAATATAATAAAAATATTAATAAAAATTCTAGCTAGAGTCTGCATGGAATTGCTATTTATATCGTTGTCTTTCGGATTTTTTTTTAGAACTTCATTTGAGACTTTCTCACTCGTCCTCAATTTTTTTTGACATCGCTCTCAATTTTATTTAATAATAATATTACCCTAGAGAATATTCCAAAAAATATTAGAATTCAAAATATTATAATGTAAATGAAGTACTTCGCGAAAATATTGGCCTGAAAAATATTCAAAGGCGAGATATTACGATATCATTATATTATTTTTTTAAATATTACAAATAAAAGGATTATGATATAAATTGTTTAATATTTTAAGTTGTATTATTTTGATGGACAGCCATAAAATAAAAATCTTCTGTTGAATCGAAAAGTCTTCGATTTAGTTTCGAAAGCCTGAAGTTGAGACGTTGAAAATACTTCCAACTTCTTTCCAGTAATTTCACCCCAAAATGCCGGTGCCTTCATCTCGTTAACTCTTCCAATATCCCATCACCGGAAAAAATTTCAACTCTGATGAACAAAATTAATTATCGTCGCGGTATCAATTCCCCTTCCACGGTATAAACCGCAGAAAATTTTTTCATCAAAACGCTCATCGCGCTTCGATGAAACTCAATTTGTTATTTTAATGAAAACAATCTGGGAAAAATTACACGGAAAATAATTCGCTATTCTTTTATTATCACTGTGGACCAATCGAATTTTATCGACGATCTCTTTGAAGATTAAATGAATGCACTCGACGATTTTTTTTTATAAATCCCACCAGGGACCAGATGAAAATTCAAATCTCATTGTCCTCATGCTATTGTCGAACGCCCATTTTAGTATTACCCGAAAACTTCTGAGTCGTTTCCCCAAAACTCACAAGAGGCTAGTCGGAAAAGAGTTTTCAAACTAATTCCATTTCTGGCACGTCAGCGTCACCGCTGGCGCAATTTCTCATACTTTGCTCTACAGTTATACGAAGTGGTTTTATAAAGTCCATTCACATTTTTAGAAAGTGGCGAGATGAGAAAGTGAAGTCCGAAAAAAATCTGGGGAAAGTGTCCCCGAGTTCTGAAGAAATTATAGAATAATTCAGTGGTAAAGTGGTGGAAAAAATGAAATGACTCAACCCTTCGGTGAGTTTTTCCGACTTATCTCCAGAACTAATGGAGATAATGAAATTTTTATGCAATCGTTTTTTCTAGAGGTAATGAAGCTCTACAAAAAATATTCTTACGAAATTTCCCCCTCTCTTTTAATTTCGAATATATTTTGTAAAAATTAATCGCATGGTTAATAATCATGGGAACTTTTACATATTTTTAAATTTTTAAATTATTTTGAATCTTGATAATGTATTACAGACAGAATTTCCGTATTTTTCTCTTGAATCGTCTACAAAAGATTGAGAATTCAAATATGAGAACATAAAAAGGACAAACCGCATTCTAGAATACTTAAAGTCCGAATGCCAGAGAGTAAAGGCTGACTTACAGGGAAAACTTTTCGAATAATTCTCATCCTCACTCCTCCCCTTTCACTACTAAAAATGTACACATAGCCGAAGCTACTCCTGCGGGAGTATGAAATTTAGTGAAAGCATAAAACTCGTAAAATTTCACCATGGGGAAACCGTTCATTTCAACCCCTACCCTTTTTACTCAGTAACGCTAAAAACTACCTCGCTCCCAAGGCCCTCTTTGTTCGCCCTCCAAGTTTTCAGCTCAATTCAGCTCACTCTGTCTCTTCTCACATCTCTCGGCTTTTCTCCCGACCATTTTCAACGTCATCCCACCAAACTTTTCATCCTCAAACCCTCGCACCCCGATAAGACGCACTCCGTAGTCTCCAGGCAACGGGAAAATACAAATAACTGAAGCCAGTGTACTTTCACCCCTTTCTCCGTGACTTCAGAGGTTTTTCCTTAGCAGAATGACGATGGTTATGTTGTTGGAAATTTTTAACAAGCACGTCTACTGATATTATATATTTTACATTTTCAGTTGATGAGAAAATTTGATTTCAGAAAAGTCACCTTCCCAAAAATCCTAGAAAAATCACCCCCAATATACCAGTAAAAACAAGAAGACTATAAATAAATTAATAAAACATGAAAAAATCAGAACTCATTTCTCTAAAATAAAAAGCTAGCCCCCTCAAAGCCCCGAGATCTTTCCCCGTTTTAGAACAAATGATCAACGTCAATCCAATAATTTAAATGTTCCTGAATATGAATGGAGATGAATTGAGATAACATTCCACATCCTAACGACTGATCCTTTTGCACTGACCTGTTTCAGTTGTTCATGATTGATAACTGCGCGGACGATTGGCGAATCGCAATGACTTGGCAACGAATATCCCAGATATCCATGGAGTTGGGGATATGCGCAGTGCACCCGATACCCGGTGAATACTACTTCCTGTGGACGACCAAACTGGCCAACAAGGGTGGTGATATAGGTTCACAATGGGTACCCTACGACGTAACCCTGTCATTGCCAATGTTTCTACGCTTGTACTTAATCTGCCGTGTGATGCTCCTCCATTCGAAATTATTCACCGACGCATCATCACGAAGCATAGGGGCCTTGAATCGCATAAACTTCAACACAAGATTCGTTTTAAAGACCCTCATGACAATATGCCCTGGCACTGTGCTCCTGGTATTCATGGTATCCCTTTGGATCATAGCGTCGTGGACATTGCGCCAGTGCGAGAGGTAAATACTGAATTTTCACTCGTTAAATCTTAAAACGTCATCCCAACGTTTCACCCACTCCCTCAAGTATTTCATCTTCATCCAGCTAATGGCACTTGAGAATGTAATAACCGTGTGGATGCTTCACCCTGATTTTCCGACAATTTTCCATCCTCTGACTCTTTCCTCAGACCAACTCAAGGAAAAAAATCCCCAATTCTTTCTCAACCACTCTGTCCTTTTCAGAAAACTCCTTTACCCAATTCAACTTTTACTGTTGGAGTGGAGAAAGGAGAATGTCAATGCTCTGGGGTGCACTCGAGAGAGACAAATGTAATCATTATCCATAAATGCCTCATCCTACCGTCAGGGCTCTCTTGAAAGACCTACAAAGATTTCTACAATCACACACTCAATCAGAGTAAATCTTGTTCCAATGGTCTTAGCCTCAGTCTTTTTGAAGTCCCAACTTCGACCTCTTCGAGAAGGAATTTTAATTTGAAACATCTTGCCGTCACAAGTAATAACCGAAAACTTTTTTATTCATTTTTTAATTTCTATTTGATGTACAAAATTAATTAATTCATTCGAAAGTCTCGGGTTGCACATTTAAAGTGCTAATTTAATGCCTTATATTCTCGTCTCCACGGCCCAACAACTGTTCATCTCATTCCAATAATCTTGAAAAAAAAAATGAAACGCCTTGAAATCGATACAGCCTCTGGGCATTTTCGGACACTGTGATACGACAATTCCGCGTGGAGAAATTCAGCTGTTAAGCCAAACTCTGTCTTCCTCGAAAAATAACGCTCATCGCTTTATCACTGTGAGGCTCATCCGTAGGTTTTACCTCGACTCAAATTGCCACTGAGAAAAAGAAACTGGGCAGACGAAGATAAATAATCTGAAAGGAGGAACCATATTTACACGTTTCGGGGGCGTGATGAAGCTGGTGGAGTCAATTTTACTCGACCATCAGCTTTCAGACTGTCTCACGACAAACGAGACCGACATTCTTTATGTGTTCAATTTTTTTCAAGGTAATATCAAGAAAAAATGAGATACTTATCAAGGGCTTCGAAATAGAGCTCAGCCAATCTGTCTCGAGCATCAGTTTTCGAAATATATTTCAAGATCTAATGAAGATAGCGGAATTTATCAAGATCCCCACGAGAATTTTTCCATCCTTTGCATTCATCACGATGTTCATCAACTCATCCTGAGTCAAGCTTCCTGATTCTCGTCGTTTCATATTGTTTTCATCGTAAATTAAGCAGCGGCAGTGGCTGGTCTGGGGAAAATAGAAAAATATTTTTCACTGAATCGCGGGGAAGATTTCGGTGCTTGCAGCATTGCAGAGTAAAAATCGTGCTGCTCGAAAAAATTGATTACGAATTTTTGTGTTTGATTCGATTAAATGGGAAACAGTTAAAAAAAATTCAGGTGAATATAAATGTTCACAAAAATTGAAGGATTGAATAATCAATTTTCCCGAGGTCCAAAATGCAGCCTTGGACACATTAAACCCACAACATTAATAACTCACATGTAATCATTAGTGATAATTAAATAGCTCTCCCGAAATTCGAGTGGAAAATCATGAGGAATTGAAATTCAGAGTCGAAGCACAGGAATCTCTCAATTTTGTTCTCTCGATGTGTCCCCCATGCATTTTCTGAACTCCTGAAGAATCCCCCGAGTTCCAGAGCTTTTTTTCAGAATTCTCTGGAGTTATCCTGAAAAAAATATTCCTCCACCCCCGGGATATCCACCAGCACGACAAACGCACGTGTAGATTCAACATGCGGCATACTGATTACAATCTTTCAGGTTTCACGACGAGGAACATGCAAACCTGCTCAACTCAATGTGGCTCATTGCCATCACGTTCCTGAGCGTCGGGTTCGGTGACATTGTACCTAACACGTATTGTGGACGCGGCATTGCCGTATCCACCGGTATAATGGTAATTCCACCAGAATTATTTCTATTTCCCCTCTGAATAACAGGCAAGACAAAATGAAATTATGCTAATGGAATTTTCGTCGCGTTTTTTTCACTACTTCAGGGAGCAGGTTGTACAGCACTGCTGGTCGCTGTGGTCTCCAGGAAATTGGAACTGACGAGAGCAGAGAAGCACGTGCACAATTTCATGATGGACACACAGTTGACAAAAAGAGTGAGGAAACAATATTTTGTCTTTCGTTTTTTTTTCCCCTTTTCATCGGTGAATCCATCCGCGCTTTTTTTTTCATCTCGATGTTTAATTTGATTTTACCTCTGCATGTCAATCATTTTGTTTTTTACAGTTGAAAAATGCCGCGGCCAATGTACTTCGGGAAACGTGGCTTATATACAAACATACGCGTTTGGTAAAAAGAGTTAATCCTGGTCGCGTGCGGACACATCAGAGGAAGTTCCTTCTGGCGATTTATGCGTGAGTATTTAACAGCAAAGGGGCCATTTCTCATTCTGTTTCTCAGAGTGGAATTAAAAATTGAAATTTCAGAGGAAGGATATTAAGACTTTATATTCGACTTTTGTAGACTCTCCTTGGCTCAAATTTGATGTTTTTTGCGTGTGATTAAATCTTAAAAATTTTGAAATCTTGTTGACAGCCTGAGGAAAGTCAAAATGGACCAGCGAAAATTGATGGACAACGCTAATACAATAACAGATATGGCGAAGGTAAGGAAAATTAATGATAAGCAAATGTCCTGGATGTGCAATAAAGTGACATTCTGATACTAATGAATAATTTATCTCCATTGCGGAATTACTTGCCCCTGACTTGAGAAAATTTTTGTCCCCCAGACTCAAAACACTGTGTACGAAATAGTGTCGGACATGAGCACTCGTCAGGACTCCCTGGAGGAGCGTCTAGTGAGTCTCGAGGAGAAACTAATATCCCTCCAAGAGCAGCTAGAGATGCTACCAGAGGCCCTGACCCGTTGCTTAGCCCAACACGCCGAGCGAATGGAGCAACGACGCAACTTCCTCCACCCAGACACAGCTGTTGTCATGGCAGCCACACCGAGCGGTGGCTGTGGCTCAGCCAGTGGAATCGGCAACAGCCTGACTGTTGGAATATCTGGCAATCTTAGCTCAGCCTCTCATCATCCACTGGCAAGCCTATCCAATTCACCACTACTGCCACACTCGAGAAGTGTACCAAGTGCACCAAGCACAATGTCTCTCCATCCATGGCCAGCGAGTCCAGTTCTACCTCCAGTCTCCAGCAGAACACCACACCTTGTACCGGACACTGGAGGTGGTCGACAGCCACAGATACAACACACATTATCAACATCATCGCAGTCAGCAACACGACTGACAACACAAGCTGGCATGGGTGGACTTGGCACGAGTCAGGGCTCAGACACATCACCGCACAGCTGAGCTTCGTCTCTGCAGCCGCAGCACTCGTACTAAAATTCAGTGAATATTAAGGAATTTTTTCTGGGCCTCTAGGTACATACCGTGTACCAATCACAGATTCTCCCTCTTCACTGAGAAACTCTAACTTTTGCCGAGTCGTTGTTAAGGATATCGAAGTACATTGAAAAACTCTCCGATATCCAAGGGGCGTGCCCCATTCGACACATAGTCTTCTTCTGGACTGAGATTCGTCAAATCAGTGAAAAATTACAATTTTTCAGTTCTATGAATTTTTCCAGAAGTTTTCCAGAAGGATTTTTAAAAAATCGAATTTCAAAAATCGAACTGATTATTGACAGCGAAGAGTGAAAGGTACTTGGATACCCTTAATTCGTGAAAAAAATTTAGTTTACCCAAGGTCTCCCTTCCTCTCGTGTCGGCTCAAACCGGTAATTTCTCATTGCCGATAAATACGAATCGATGATGATCGATTTGCGGCTGTAAGTACAGCAGGTACTGTATTCAATCGATCATAAATTCGAGACACGAAGGACAATGAGCATACTGGAGACAACGACAACGAGCTGGTCTTGCAAACATTTTTATAATGGACGATACGAGGGGCAAAGAGACGATGGGGTAAAGAGGGAGAAAACCGTAAATACACGGTCTCTTCCACTAGCTGCGGACTGCTTCCCCAACAGCCCCCTCGCCCATTCTTGCGTGCCTCTATATCTTAATAATTAAGGTACTCGATTCGATTCAACCTTTATCCTACCGTTCTATACTGTCTCTATATATCTGTCAGTTTCAATGTTTCCATGTGTACTTGAATGAACGCTAAAAATTTATGGAGACAGGTGACCGATGAAAAGTGGTCTGGAGGACACGAGTTAAACACAAGCCACCAGGTAGAGACAAATTTTCGAAATAAAACCAACAATATATTTCATAGATCAAAAAATACGTCACGTGAGTCTCTGTCATCTCGCGATTCTCAAATGATTATCGAAGTAATTATCGGTAATCCATCAGGTGTGACAAAAATTTTATTGAAAAATATTGCGCTTTTACCTTATATCACGTAAATTCTCCAAAAGAATTCAAAACTGTTTTTTTTCTTTGGAATTCTAATCAGCTCTAAAAAAAGTCTATTTCCACCTTAAATCTACAGTTTCCGAGATAAATTAACGATTAAAAAAAACCGTAAATTGTACTTATCTCCCCTTAGCACTTGCTCACTGGGTTTTTAAATAAAATTGTAATAAAACTTCTTGGAAAAAGCGCAATGTTTTTCAATGAATTTTAATCATGCGTGATAGGATCTATTGTGAATAAATCTTATCAATCTTTCAACTCTCACTTACTAAACGAACCTTTCTAAACAAACTTATCTCTTATCTCCCCTTTTCTCTCAAAACTTTCAGCTGACTATGAGGAACTCATTAATAAACCTCCCTTTATCGGCGTGGAATTAGTCGACGACTAGTTTTTATGCGAATAGTGAAGAATAAAACCAACAAATTATTATATTAAACGATGGCCTTAAGGAGTGGTATAGTTAGGACAAACAGTCTAATGAATTTTAGCCACAGTGACAAATCTGCTAAACGGGTATATCGATTCAGCATAAACCAGACAACTGTGGGGAGGAATTATTTTTATTTCGTGAGGGAATAATGCCAATAGGATCATTCAAGTGTGGTAATGAAGGAGATTAATACTGTATAGTGGAGATAGAGAGGATCGATAAAGTTACAATGTAAAGGATAAATAGGAGGAGTGTAAAGTGATCTTATCCGCTTTAACGTCCGTAGATTATAGTATTTATCACTTTAGGTCGGCAAGGAGTGTAAAACGGCAACGGTTAGTTCACTCGAGTGCAGATGTTGAATAGGAAAATGAGGAAAATAGGAAACAAACGATAAGTTTTTTATTGAATCAGGCGAGTAGTTGGCGTTTAAGGCCAGCAAGAATAGATTAAGCTATTTCTCATTGTTCATCAGCCGAGGCATAAAACTGTGAACCTATTTTTTTTTTTTTTTCATCTGGAAAAGGAGAAAACTTCGGGTTGAGGTGCATGATGACCCAGATCGTCCGGTTTTTCTCGATTAATTTCTCCGTTGATATTGGTTTAACGAGAACTTTCGCCAAAGGGGGCTTGACATCGCGAAATGGGACCAAAATGGACACTATCGTCAACACAACAGAACAAATGTAACAGTTATTTCCCTCGAACAAGTTCTTCTATGAAACTGTCTCAATGCCCACTCGACACGATACACACGATATTTTTATATGTGGAAAAAGGAGGAAATAGTTTATTCTGAAAGTGCATTATCTCGGGGATATTCAATTGAATATTAATCCGTGGGGGAGGTTATTCCGGGGAAATTGCATAAAGTGATTCGGTCATGTTAATTTGGTATTTTATTTACTTGTTTTACCTTCTGGTCGATTCAACCGGTAATTGTAATAGAACTTAACGCAACGCTTGTGAAAAAAATTAGTGGAATAGCTGTTTCTCTGAAAATTATTTCGATTTTCTTTCCAGTAATTTTTTCTATTCAAATTATCGGAATTTATTTTATGAAAAACAGAGGAAAATTATTTTCGTTTATATGAAAAATTCAAATCCAAGTCTTTCGTATGAAATATTCAATAGAAAAAAAATTTGAAGAAACCCCTGGGTATTTGTATTGAATTTTTCTATACATGAAGAAGATGAGCCGATCCTTCATTCCCTGTTTTAATGAGTGACCCATTACGTTTTATCATTCTGACATTGAATTTAATGGGAATCGCGTTTGCGATGGAATTAATTGAGTGAGAAGCCACACCCATTATCGACATTTAATGATTCTTCCTCTTAGTAATTGCAAGGTAAAATTCGCAAGTGGAAAGAACACGAAAGGCTATTGATGATGAGTAACAACGCGATTCGTCACTCGTTGTTTTTACGAAATATTGAGGATCGTGACGATAAAGTGACAACAAACCGAAGGAAAAAATACATTCGCGGTACAAATTTAAGTCGCCGTAATTTTTCCACGGTTCCTACAGCCAATAAAATGAAATTGATAACTAATTGAATTACGATAACTTTCACCAGTTTATACGAAAAAACAATACGATTATTGCTATTCCTATACATATAGAGCATTCATTAATATATTGTTACTAATATTACCAGAAAAAAATCCAAAAAACGATTGAAACGATCGAATCCTAGTGTTTTACCGTTTTAACTCGAATAAACCTGAAATTCTTTCATAACGAACACTTTACCGATATTATCCCACGGCTTCTGTCGTGTAATTGTTAAAAAATGACCAAAATAACACAAAATTGATATACCGATCTAGGCAGTACGAAGTCCCCACTACGCAGAGGTTTTTAACGGAGACAATTATTTTTCCTGCATTTCACCAGACGCATCGAATAGTTTAAAAAATTCGTAGAAAGATCAAACGCCTTTTATAAAAAATTGTAATGAATTTCTACAGAAACTTCATGAACTCTAGGATTTTTTATCGATTTTCCCCATTTTTTTATTTGCTAGTCAAGATCGAATTCACGAAAGAAAAAAAAATCATATCCCCGAATTTTTATTAAAAAATTCCTCGAGAATAATTGGTGTGGAAAATACAACACCTATGATGCTCTGTAATTTTTAATGTAATCATCGTGAAAACGGTCTTTTAATAAAATAATGATGGAGTTCCAGTGGGAATAGAATTTTTTAAAGAAAGCGGAAAGTCTTTCTACAGAATTTTTCCATCCGATACCTAAACGTCTCGATGAATTGTTGAGACTCGCGTGTTCTTCTCAGCAGGAATCGCGAGCCCATTGTAGTTTTATTTGAATCAATTCAATAAACCGGAAGAGGAATATCCCTTGAATTGTAATAACTATCGACAGAGGAATCGGGGAAACAGCTCGACGTGTATTACTTAGGCAGCGTCGACAATAGGCTTGAAGAGGTTTATCCATTTAGATGATAAAATTCATTGAGAACTAGGGAATTATCTACAATTTACATACAAATTGGTTCCTGGGGTTTATATATCCGCAATAAACTTTCCAGAATACAATTTTCTTCATATAACGCAGGAAAAAGCACGAGGAAATCGCTAGAATAAATTCATCATTCATTATTCATTCGTTCTAAGAAAATTTTCATTCAGTGGAAGTTTTTTTTTAATAATAAAACTCCAGTCTCCTGAACATTTAATCTGATATTTTATTAGAAATACTGGTGTGCATGATCATTTTGGGCCATATCGTTGTGCCAATAATCAAAGAGTATTACGTAGAAAAATCGTAAATTTATCTTAATAGAGGGGGTGGAATTCTTGATAAATGGGGGGCACTGATTAAATCAACGTCACTGTCACTCACGCCTGCAATTCAGTCTCTGAATCGACATTCTCCTGCGCAACGAATCTTGAAAGTAGTCAATACGAAAATTCCAATCCGGATGTAAATGAAACAAACCATCGGATTTTTTCAACCTGTCGCTGTTTCCAACTGGACTCAGGAGTATTTTATTTTATTATTTACTTGCACTTGACATTAGCCTTTACACCGCACCCCTTTCAATAAAACAACAATTATTTTCCATCTCTAACGTTTGTCCCTTGGACTGCATTTACTTTATGAATTTTTCATCGATTCGATTAATGTTGGGCAATGGGTTTTTCAGGAATATCTCCGAAATTACGAGACATACCGAAATTTTTGTAGTAACTGTTTTTATACGTCTCGATTAATTCTATAAAAAATGTTTTAACAAATATTTCATTATCTCCCTTGGATCTCGGGAATTTCATTGAAAAACAATATTGTCAACGGTTTTCCACTCCGTTATTGAAGCTAAAGAACCTTTGATTTTTTTTTCGTACGTTTATCGGTAATTATTTATTGAAAGTTTAGATAGCGGTCCACTGGTGCGGTGTAAATGTTAACAATTGAGTTTCTCGTACGATACTGGGACCACTGTCGTGTTAAATGTTTCAGCGACTCCGATCACCGATTTACTGATAAAGTTAAATGGTAATTAGGAGTGTTGCATGTCATTTGCACCGACATTACCAACAACAAATTATATTATTCAGTGCTTTTTTATTTCTCAATTTACGATGGATTGAATGAATGATTGTGAGGAAACGAGGGAGGGCTCAAGTACTGTAATTATTACGGAAATTTGATAGGTAATCCTTCAACTTCAATTATTTCTCATTTTATTCCCAGTATTATTTATTCTACTCCTCCTCAGGTCTGAAAAGACATCACCCCTCCATCAAACAGTCTCCCTGAATGAATAATAAACAATTTAATAATAAAAAAGATTATTTGAAAGCCTAAATAAACGGCCTCGCCACTCAATGAACATGTGTACAGACCTCAACGTCATAAAAACAAATCATTTTAAATTTCATTACCCTAATTATCGTGAAGACACGCATGATAAAATTCAATAGAAAAACCTTACGCTTCCTCCAACAATTTCTATGAAATTTCTATTGGCACTCTATGAGAATTCATGAACATAATTTCTCCCCGTTTCTTCTCCTCGGAGTTCATCATGAGAGATAAATAAAAATACAGAAAATAAAATTTAATGAATTCCTATAGAGGCATCATAAAAATCAAATGGAATATCTTTTAAAAAATGGAAGATTGATATTTTTGTCATGCGTGGGAGCCCCTCAAAAAATTCATAACTAAAAAATTTCGATCTGAGAAAAAATGGAAAAACACAATTCTCGGCGTTCTTCATTATGCATTACACAGATTATTCTGTACTGCCAACCGACTTCTGCGACACGTGGAATTATAACTGATGCTCCGTTCACGAAAATTAGGGACCATCAGAGCATTCTGGTATGTCCGCTCCTTAATAGGAATTTTAATAGCAATTAAACAGAGACTATACGAGTTTAATTTCACCCCCAGCAGTCGAATAAACCGCTGCTAATGACCTAGTACTTTTCACATTCCTCCTTCATTTACGAGTAATAGTATTGCGTGTAGAGTAAGAAACGGGCCCATGTTTAATCATAAGGCGTATTTAATGTATAAAGAGATGAAAATCATGAATGATTGCAGGTGAATTCGATTGACGTTCGCTAAAACTTGAATAATAATTAAAATAACGATATTTAGGCTCGTTGAGCTTTAATCTTTTATACACAGCTACGATATTCACAAGCGGAATAATTGAATAAGTGAATTATCCCTTTCCAATTGGAATTGAACATTGAATTGACATCAGCGCTGTTCGATTATTTGCTTTAATTTCATTACAGTTATGAATTTCCTAGGTATACGTGAACAAGTTCAATTGATAAAAATGATCGAACAATTTTGATGTGCTACCATGTGAGAATAAAAACGACATAAATAGCGCTCATTCTTGATTGACTACCATTTATAAGCACTATTTCGCACAAAATGTTCATATGTAATTGTATATCTAGGATTAATTTTTATTTAATATTCGAAACGAGAGAATAATCTAGATTCATTGAATAACAATTAGAAGATTCTATTTAATGGAGTTCTCCGTGAGACTCTTCCATTGGGTGTGAAAATTGGATGGGAATAGGGGATGTGTACTTTTTTATCAATTCCATCGTTCCATCCAATGATAAATCTCACGGTTCGATTCAATTTAAACCAGAAAACTCAAATTTCAACATCTACGTTCATTAAATACGTAGAATCTATTGAAAAGAGTGCGATACGCAAATGGAGAAAAACACCAATGACACGCATGGCAAAAATTAATATCAAAATGTTGCACTTTCGCTCACAGTTGAATAAAAAAAGTCAGAATAATTCCAATAGAAATTGGATAAAATATTTCAGAGGAAGTGCAATGTTTCCTGTTGAATTTTTAGATGCGTAGATTAATGCCCGTTAATCGAGAAAAGGGGAAAGAATAAATAAAACCAACCAGAGGAAAAACTAGTCCGTTATCTGTTACTCAAAGATACAACCTCTTCTAGTCTATATAAGCCAGGAGGTAAATTTCTCAAAGGAGAAACCTGTAAATAAGGGTTGATGTAAACATATTATGTTTGTACATATTGTTACGTAGTTTTAAGTAACGCATAAAAGAATATACTGTAATAAACGTTAAACTAACACGATAACAAGGGAGAAGAGAAGGTGAAAACTATACAGAGGGAGGATTTAATACTCAATACTGATTTCCTACTAGTTTAAATAAATGGAATTATCAAAAAACAAAAAAAAAATAACAAAAACAACAACCAACATTATATTACGCGTACACGTAAATTTAATAATGCGCATTTTATGTAAAGTATACAGAATTTAGTCTGCCTGATTACTTGAAACAATAGTTTAAACAAGCATTACTTGCGTGAAGTGCCTGGGATTACTGCAAATGATGATATTGAAGAAGAAAATACACATTTCATTCAATTGTCTACAAATTATTTTGACACACTTGGGGATGTGCCTTTTGTCTTTGTTTCCTCAATCACTCAGTAGTCCACCATGAGTTATTCTAAGATTTTCATTCATTGTCCAGTTCTCTTATCGAACGAATGATTAATCTAGGCGGATATAATGCTTCCTAAACACCACCTAGCCAGTAGCATAAACAAAAAAAAAAACGTTAAGGATAGGGGACCAAAATAAGAATTCACCACTTACTTCCTCTGGTTACGAATGAAATAATGTCCCACAGAACTCATCACAGTAACAATATTATAAAGGAATTAGTTTCGAAAATTTCCTTAGAATTTCGATAAAACAAATTTAACAATAAATTTAACTGAATTTCTTTTCTTCGATGTTTGTTCGAGCCCCATTCCTGCATGTGCACGATTAGCTCCCAATTAAAACAACCAGTAGACAAGTATAATGAAATAAAATTATATTTCAATGAAATTCATACGATTACAGTAGCAAAAGCAAAAAATTGATTATGCAGAGAAAATAATAAGTGATGTACAAATGAAGACTTCGTCGATGCTAATGCTTGTGGAAGTATCGTTATCCCTCTGAAATAATAATTTGACAGTTGTGATGAAGAGAATGTCAAACTTCCTTACTAATGTCGGCAGTCTCGGATACACACGTAGTTTTTTTCCCCTCAGTTCCCTTGGCAGCTTCATCTACATTCTTGGACCACGAACAGCTGCGTTGTCTCGGTGACTTTGGCATTGACCAGGATCTACTCCTGGACTTTCTCTTGGGTGTTGTTGACTTCGACCTTGCTCGTGACACCTTGATTTTCGATCTACTCCTTTTCCTACGACTGTGTCTCTTGCTCTCCCTCGAGCGTGATCGTGATTCAGATCTCGATTTTCTCCTGGATCTCGACCGTCTCGATCTCGACGAACGAGACCTCGAGCGTGAGGCTGACCTCCTGCGTCGTCTGCGCTCACGTGATCTCGATCTCGATCTAGATCTGGAATAACTCCTACTCCTCGTTCTTCGTCTCGACCTGGACCTGCTACTCGATCTTCCACGGCTGCACGAACGTGATTTCGAATTGAAATCACTCTCATAGTAATCGATACCTGCTAAATTGGCGAAATATTTGTAGTACTGTTCGTTGTACATGTGGGGGTTGAATGCTCGCATCGATCGAGGATATCTGCTACCACGACGTGGAAAAATCCTACCCCTACCCCGTTGGTATCGATTCATCGGGCCACCCCCACCTCGACTCATCGGGGGGTAGAGCATGGCCGCTGCATCGTAGAACCAGGGCTGGGGGAAACGGGGGTACATCTGAGAGAGACCAAGCTCGGGATCCATTTCCATGGGATTTGGGTTATTCGAACCCAAGGCACTGCGGAGCTTCTTCTTGTCGGTTTCCACGTCGGATTCCTCGCCAGAACTTTCAGAGTCTTTTTTCGATTTTTTCTGGAGCAAACGGTTAGAAAATTTACGGAACAATATTAAATATCAGGAATGATATTGAAAATTCCTCGTTGATTCATTTGATTGGTGGACGGCGATTGAATACATGAGACGTGCATGAGACCCTCTTACCTTTCGTTTTTTCTCCTTCCTCGATTTTTTCTTCTTCAGTTTCTTATTTTTCTTGTCCTTCTTATCCTCTCTGTCCGCTGATTTATTTGTCCCCTCCTCTCCCTTCTCCACCTTCTGTCCAGATTTTTGATCCTCCAGATTTGTTCCCCCAATAATAATCTCTTTCTTCTCGACTTTATTCTGCAAATAAGAGTAATCCTCTCTTCGTTCATTATCTCAACGGCAAAAAGAAAAATACATACTTTTATCCTATCGAAGAGTTCATCGAGCAGGCGAATGCTCTCCAGTTGCCTCTGTGCTTTTATAAGTTTTCTCTCCTCCCTGGCAATTTTCATCGACACTTTATCCTCTTCCTGTTTCCTAAACATCGTCAATGCCTTGCGCTTTCGCTTTTCCTCTCGTTTCCTTCTTCTGGACTCCTTGGCATCCTTGTCTGCTGCCTCTTTTTTCCTGTAGAAGCATGAAAAATAAATACCAAGGGCGAGTGAATATCACCAAGAGAAACTTTTTAGGCAACAGATAAATTCACTTTTGTTCTTCTCTCTTCTGCACCTCAGCCTCCTCCTTCCGCCTCAATTTCTCAGCTGCCAGATTGTCTTGTGCAATAAGTCGCTTCCTCTCGAATTCTCTGTGAGCTACCGAAGAGTCACTCATGTGCTTTGTCTTGTCAAATTCAACCTGAAATAACCAATTAAATAGAAATCAATAGAAACAAATGCTGAGAAAATTCACGTGTCTCTTGTTTCTCCAATTTCCCAAATACCTTAATTTGGGCAGTGAGACAGTTCTGTCCATCCTTCTTCATGATTTTCATACCCCTGAGTGAGTCCATGAGCTTGACAAAATCCATGTATTCGATGAATTGCACATAAGCATCAAAGAAAATACCATCACCAAAGCTGCATTTCTGAATGTTATTCCCCAGCCTCATCCTGGTTCTGTAGGAATCAGCAGCAGGCACATCGATTCTCCGGATTGTCCCCCATTTCTTGAACATTCTCGTGACCATGGATTCACTGGGTGTTTTACCCCCATCCTCACTGAACCATTTGACAGGAAGACCACTGATGTGTACAGTATCAGGCCTCTCTCCAGGCTTGAGTTCATTCATGTGTTTGGCATCACGAAAGTAAGAATCCCAACTATGTTTTGTGGGAAATTCATCCTTGACCTCAACGGCCCGGACTTTGAGAACACTGGAGAATCCAGCCAAGTTCATACGCTGTCCCTCGAGTCTCGCTAGTATCCTCTGCAATCTGCTTCTGTCTGTCAACTCTCCCTCCAGTCTCACAAATTCCAGAGTACTCTTCGTTACTTTGAGGGAGGCAAACTCGTCCGGACGCACCAGCAGACGAATCTTCTCCATAACCTCCCATGTTGATATTGTTTTGCCTGTTTATATTGTAGTAATGTGCTGTAAAACCTGCTATTCCTATGGAACATTATTATTTTAAAACGAGAGAAGGGAATGCAAAGTAGGACCCTGTGGAAATTTCCTGGTTTTAACTGGAATAACAATGTCTCTCGACCACAAGTATTATCAAATATCAGGGTGATTCTAATACTAGAACTTCGAGGTCGCGTAATTACCTGGAGTTTTCAGTTGGGGAAGATTAACAGACACATTTATTTTGGCTATTGGTTTCAAGTAAAGCCCTTTCGCTGTGTACAGTGGTACTATATCACTCAAATCCCTACAGCTCCGAAATCCATTAGCAACCTCTCCACTGGAATTTTCACCTACCTTTTTATCACCACCACTCATTGTTATCAATTTATTGTTCATAATAGCAAATGATTAAGTAATTGGTGATGGATTGTTTGGATTCATTATCAAGTCTATGATTCAACTGAATTATTTTTTTTTTTCTTACGGACTCGGTGGAAACCTTTCAGCGGAGAGGTTGTGTCAATTCATTCGGAGCTTTTCGATAATCTTCAGAGATGATCAGAGATGACATTTCGTTAATTAATAATCAGTTTGTCAACTGATTATTACTTGGTTTTTCTCACTTATTCGGGGGAATTCTGGACTATCCGTTATTTTCACATTCCTCGGAAGGTGACAGAAACTGTTACCCGATGTTGATTATCATTTTTTTTTTTAGATTTCGTGGGGATTTTGAGGGAAAGCCACGGAATTCTTCGGATGATGGTCTTCCGTTGGCGGTTGCAGAACTTTCGAGGTTAGGGTAGAGATAACCAGTTATATGAACGATTCATTAGCATGACAGTCGATATCAAAGAGGATTGACTAAAGTAGAGGCTCAGTTCAGGGGGTTTGAGTGACCCCAGCGGTATCGGACTACCTCACCCCGAGAGAGAGAGGGAGCTACACGCAATGTCCCGCTGTCAAAGGGAAAATTTGAAATTGTTGGAAAAGTATCAGGGGAACATGACAATTGAGGAAGTATTCACTGAAATGTGAAAATTTAAATTTTTCAAAACAGTATCAGGGGAGCATGAAAATCGAGAAGGTATTCACTGAAATATGAAAATTCAAAATTTTGTAAAAAGTATCAGGAGAGCGTGATAATTGAGATGGTATTCACTGAAAATGAAAAATTCAAAATTTTCAAAAAAGTATCAGGAGAGCATGACAATTGAGGAGGTATTCACTGAAAATAAAAAATTCAAAATTTTCGAAAAAGTATCAGGGGAGCATGAAAATTGAGAAGGTATTCACTGAAATGTGAAACTTCAAAATTTTTGAAAAAGTATCAGGGGAGCATGAAAATTGAGAAGGTATTCACTGAAATGTGAAAATTCAAAATTTTCGAAAAAGTATCAGGGGAGCATGAAAATTGAGAAGGTATTCACTGAAATGTGAAAATTCAAAATTTTCGAAAAAGTATCAGGGGAGCATGAAAATTGAGAAGGTATTCACTGAAATGTGAAAATTCAAAATTTTCGAAAAAGTATCAGGGGAGCATGAAAATTGAAAAGGTATTCACTGAAATTTAAAAATTCGAAATGTTCAAAAAAATATCAGGGGAGCATAAAAATCGAGGAGGTACTCACTGAAATTTCAAATTTCGAAAAGTATCGGGGGAGCATGAAAATCGTGGAAGTATTCACTGAAATTGAAAAATTTTAAATTTTCAGAAAATAAAATTCACGCAGTGGACTGGTCCCTCTGACAGCGGGACTGCTACTGAGGGCCTGAGGCAGTTACTGAGTCGGCTGACGGGCAGACCCCCCACCATTGGGTGGGCCCCCCTCTTTCTCTTGGGGTGAGGTGGGGTACAGTGCCGGTGGGGTCACTCAAACCCCCACTGAGCGGCTCAGTTCTGCGCGAGCACCCCACCCCAAGAGAAAGAGGGGGTCGTACCCAATGGTGGGGGCTCTGCCCGTCAGCCGACTCGGTAACTGCCTCAGTAGCAGTCGCGCTGTCAGAGGGACCAATTGACAGGGTGAATGTCATTTTCTGCGTTACGAAATCAGTATTGACCCATTGCGTGTTGCGCCCTCCCTCACTTGAGGTGAGGTACTACGATGTCAGTGGGGTCGCTCAAACCTCCAGAACTGAGCCTCTGCTTTAGTCAATCCTCTCTGTATTCGACTATCGACTGACCGATTTTCGATATTCACCCTTATATTAAGGCGACGCGGACGTTCCGGCGACTGTCGTCTCATGAAAATCGATGACAATTTGCACCAAATCACGAATCTTGAATTTTTGGTTAGAGGGGTTGGAAAAATGGTTAGTTAAGAATAATGCAATTGAGAGGGGTGGATAAATAGAGGAACGAAGTGTAGGGAATTTATAGGGGTGTCATTGACGAATATTCGAAATGTCGCACTACTCGCATGTGCAGAGGGTCAGGAAGCTGTACAAAACTATTCTGAAGCTCCACCGAGGACTACCAGAGGCAATGCAGACCCTCGGAAATAATTATCTCCGGGATGAATTTCGAAGGCATAAAACTTGCGGATCTACTGAGGCTAATGTCTTCATGCATGAATGGGCTGTGAGTATTTTTGAAATTATTGATGCAAGGGAAAGTGACGCGATGTGAAGTAAATACTCATTATATTTTTCTAAATATCGACAGCTCAAAAATGAAAAAAATTATTCTCATTTTCGTATTCAAAACGGCATCAGCTAGGTTTTCTCATCATCTTCACATTTATTATTAATTCAGTACCAAAGTGCTAACATGAGAATTGGAAATTCATATTTCTCAAGTCATCGATTTTTCCCCTTTTTATCGTTGATAAAATTTCCATATAAAAGACCATCTGGTATTTTCGCATAAGCTCGATAATTTTTTAGGTCTATCAATATTTAACGACAAATTATAGAGTAATATTGGATTTATCTCACTGGATAACTTTGGTACTGAATCGTTCGATCTGCCTGAAGGATTATGCAATCGGACTAGCAGAACAACTCGGTCTACGAGGTCCTCTGACAGCAAAACCCCTCGGGAAAGACCTAAATGCCGATGATCTGGACAAACTGAGGGATGAGCAAGTTTATCAGTTGTACGAACTCATGATTGCCGCCACTGGGAAACAAGAGGGGGAAAAGAGATGATGACAGAACCGTCGTTTTGATAATAAAGTGTACAGTGTATTCGTAATTTTGAAGTTCAAATAAATTCCAAATAGTTGACAACCATAAGGTGCATTGTGCAATTGTTTTAACTAGTGATCGCTGTTCTCAAGGCTTAACCTAGAACCTTGTTGATGAAAAGACGATCATTAGTCGGTGGATTAGTTTCTCTTCAGTGAGACGTGGAATTAATTAATTCTTGGTGATTGCGATCATGATGAAGCCCTGGAGGGATGCAGCTACAATTATTCTCGCTGCTAGGCAGCAGCAGAAGATCAATCAGGTGTTGACCCCAGCTGTTGTGAGTATTAATACCACGAGATTGTTTTCCTCCTTTCATTTTTCCTCTCAGAATTCTCTACGTTTCTTGATTAAGTAGCGGCATGATTAAATGACTCCATTCAATGTAATTTCTCTTCGGTTAAAATTAATTAAATTTTATGACTGTGATTATTCTGCCGTCAGTTTCAATACGACTATGAGTTACTTGGACTGAAACGTCAGAAGAATGCGTCGTTTATGCCGGGAAAACACGTATTCCCTGGGGGCACTGTGGATCCCGCTGATACCGATTTGCGATGGCAGAATCTCTACTCGAGATTTGGATTTGATCTGACGAGTTTTTCGTCCCTAGTTCCGAGTGCAACGATGAGACCGATGATTTTTAAATCCAGGAGAAATGAACTGCCCAGAGAAGTTTCTCTGAGGATAAGTGCTATTCGGGAAACCTTTGAGGAGTGTGGGATACTCCTCTGCAGGCAGTCCAGGAAGAAGGGGATTTGGTCGGAATGGGCTGAGACCTTCGGAGGTAAATTATCCGGGTCCAAATGGACATGTGGATTTTCTGTCCATTTCGAGAGTTTAAATAAATCGTGAGAATCGTTGAAATTCCAGTCAAATTTGGGCAATTAGAATGACTAATCATTTCAGTCGACAAAACCGAAAGGAAGACCTGGCAGGAGCGAGTCCATAATGATGCCACAGAGTTTTATAAAATGTGCGAGGGTCTTCATTGCTTCCCAGATGTCTGGGCTCTTCACGAATGGAGCAATTGGCTGACCCCTCCATACATCCCAGGGAAAAGATTCGATACAATATTCTTCCTCGCCTGCATGAGATCTACCCCAGAGACTGAATGCGAACTCTCAGAAATCGAGGAATTGAGGGTAAACACGATTTTCAAGTTGAAATAAATAGAAATGACAGAATTTTTCGATAAAATCCAAAACAGTAAACAGATTGCGCGCTACGAGTGGAATTGTAAAATAAACTAAATCATTCTTTGTACTTCTAGTGGGATGGACCAGGGAATTTGATAAATCCCACAGCGAAAGTCTCTCTCGCCCCTCCACAGCACTACGAGATTGGTAGAATAGCGAAATTCGAGTCAATAGATAATTTGTTGGATTTTGCCGTAGAAAGGAGTAAAATAGGGTGTCAGTTGATCTGTCCAGTGAGTAAACGATTTAATTTGCCTTGCACGCACGAAAACCATATTCCTAGCATTTATTTATACTGAATAAATAATTTATTAATTTTTAATAATTCGTCTATTCAAATGAATCGATTTTTCTGAAAACCTATCACTGACGAAAAAATAATAAATCTCCCCTTCTTTGTTAATTCAATCGATTATTATTATTATTTCGATTTATTGATTTAACTGGTAATAGGGATAATAATGTTTTATTACAGGTCCGAGCGAAATTGTCAGACGGAATGGTCTTCCTCCTCCCTGGAGACTCCATGTACCCGAAGGAGACTAATTTCTTGGAAAAACAGGACCTCGACTTCACCACTATGACAATAGCCGAATTTCGCAGTACTTCAGAGTCAAAAAATCGCATGGAGGTGTACGACGTTGAGGTGAAGCGAGTTGTCTCTGAGAATATCGAGCGCGGGGACGGTCACCTTAATCCTCTCCCCCTGGAAACTGTCCACGTGAAGCCCAGAGTGAGTAAACTATAACTCAATAACCAAGGAACAAAGAGTAAAAAATTGATTGAATTGATTTATAAGTCTTGGAAGAATATTTCTATATTTAAGAAAGATAACCATTTTTTGTAAGAACATCGTCACCGTTGGATGGTTCGCCTGGGAACAAGCCGATTTGTATCCCTTTACCTCTTTTTTATTACATTGATCATTCATAACTTGTTAATCGAAATTCGTTTGTTATTCAAAAATAAATACGATTTGACGGATTTGCTTCCATTAATTACCTGAAATAAATTCTCCTTTCCTCGTATCAATTCTACTTTATTGAAAATCGTCATTGATACACTCATGCTGTAATTAAACTCATACATTGGTTATAGTAATTAAAAACTACGACCTATTTAAAATTGTTCGCCAATAAGACTATATGTACAGGAATTTGTAACCGAGGTAAAAAAAGCTCGTGAAAAATTAATGAAATAGATCATGAATTTCCTTGAACCCAAGAACAGCCAGGAGGGGAAATTAATATTTTCACAAGAGAACATGATCACTAATTTCACTCGTCACTAATTATTTTTCCCTCCCTCACATTTTTTTTTTAACTTTGCGGCAATAAAGAATAACCCTAACTCGTTGGGCGTGACTCCTGTCTCGTGTGAGCTTTCACTCGAAATATTACTTAATCCTCACTGGCCGTGTTCAAACGTCGAGGCACTTAAATTATTTCCATTCCAATTCGTTCGTTCCTTTTAGCATGAAAATGAGGCGTCGCAATTGATTCGTTAATGCATGATAATAACTAATGTATTATGGGCTTATGTGAATATCGATACGATGCAGATAAACTCGAGGATAACTGTTTGATTAAGATAACTACATTAAAATTTATATCTCTGAATTTGTGATTTTCGTTAACTTTTAGAAGGCACATCTTAAATTATTTTCTCTCGTTTCATCTCGCAGTCTTGCTGGATCGCATGTCTACGTGTCATTATTATTTATTATATTATTTTAATTAATAGTTTATTGAACCGACATCACGTGCAATCTCAAGCCAGTCCATGTGATTGTGAAGTGTGATAAACGCATAGAATTCTGTAGTATAATGCTCATAAAATATCAATAGAAATTCGATAGAATTTTTTTCAGAAAGCTGAAACTCTTTGTATCAAATTTTAGCCCACATGTTTTTCTTTATTTCCGATCATGTTCATCGATTATTCTTCCTATTTCGTTAATTGAACATTAATTGCCGTCGATTGCGTATCAAGTGAGTCGGTAGATCCTTCGAAGGGCCATTGGCTTGGAACTGAATGCAAATCCAAGTAAATGGCAAACTCTCGTAAAGCAGAGAACCCTTAATTAAACAATCGTAATTAGTGTTTTCTCATTGCGTGTAAACCGGACGCGGAGTTGATCCAGTGGCTGCGGTTAACACAGATCACTTGTCCGCTTCTCTGATTCCACACTCGTGTCTAGATTTCTTGTTTCCTCGTAAAAAATATAATTTAGTGAAGATCTTTATCAAGATGGGATTCCTCACTCACTCGGTGGTGAATTATTTCGTTGAAATTATTATCGTCTTATTTTAGGCTTCTGGGGAGTTAATTAATTCGACCTTTGTGAGTCATGTAGCTGAGACTGTCGCTCAGTAATTTTTCTCTCGCTGCACGTCGTATTCGCGAGCAAAGGGCGAGGAGAGTACCAATCATTATGCAGATTACGGCACATCCAAGACCGACTATTGTACTCACTACCGTTGATCGTAGACAGACTCTGTCGCCGGGGGGTGATTCGCTGGGTCCTGAAATAGATTAATAGCACGAGGATATTTAAATAAATCTTAAACTTCATTTCTCCAACAATTACCCAATACGCATTTTCTGTCAGTTTGTTTTTGTTTAAATATGATGGAGCAATTGAAAGGTTCAGGTGAAATATTCAACAAATATTGAGACAGTTACCATTGTGCAGCGAGGCCGTTGAATTCTGGAAGATTTCAGGTTCTGCCTCGCCCTCCTGGAGCACCCGCAGTGACTGGAATAGATTAACATTCTCCGATAAACTCGTTGCTGGAGTCGTAGGACCGCCAAGGGCCAACGATCTTTTGGCAACGTTCTTGGAATTTCTCCAGTGACAGGGTTGACTCTGCAGCACAAAAAATCCGCACTATTATTCGAGAAACTGAAAATCTTTAACAAAAATTTCGTTATCGCATCAATCGTGGAATTATTGTAGGATGTGAGATGATTTTTTTTTGGCATGAATTTGTGGGATGAATTAACCGGATGCCGTTGCATAGGAAACATCCGATTCTCCTTTGACGATTTCTCCCTCTAATTAGGGGGAATATCCCCCGGACGTTATCATCAATCAAAGACTAATTACTCACCGGACACCTTCCATGACACATCCTCACATCGCACTCGATATAAAGTGCTGGAGAACCCGTGAACCTGAACGTCTTCATGTAGGCGAAGACTTGAGTCTCGAAAAGACCGCTCTCCGACCATGAACCTCTGAACCTGCTGATCAATTTGTCGTCAACTGGACATCCGTATTGATCGATCAGCTGGATCCTCTTGTTGCCACCGTTATGCGCATAGCAGTCGTTGACGACGATATCAAAACCGTCGTACTTACTCCTCATGTAAATTATGAGTGTCAGAGGATCTCCAACTCTCACAGGACCTGCAACTCTCGTTCCCGTCGTTCCATACCCATATCTTATCTCCATGTAGCATTCCGGTGGTTGCAGTGTGAATACTACCGGATTCCCCGTCGCAACTCTGAAATTTTATCATTTTTACTTTCCCACATGAGAGAGTGCTTTTCAGTATAGTATCAGTCAATTCCAATTTCAAGAAATTTCACGTTACGCAGCGGGTGATAAGAGAATTCTCAGAAACCGAGAAAATATGAAAATAAAAAAATTACGTTCCTCCCGAAAAATCGGAAAAATCCGCTGGAGTCGGGATAAATTTTTATTTTTTTCACAGAGTGAATTTCTCCGAAATTAATCAAAAAAATTTCATACATTTAATTTCCTAAAGATAACAATGATCCCCGCGAACCACATGCTACCCCTGAAAAACCCATAAAACTCACTCAACATCGAGAAATGGAAAAGTCACAGTCTTCCAGAAGTCGTATCCATACTCGCACGTTACTTTGAAATGCTCATCAAACTCCTCCTCAATGAGCGGATTATACTGCACAGTAACAGTATTCCACATGAGATTCTTCTGCAAAGTAGAATGCAAAACGTTAATCATCATTTATGTACACGAACATCTCCGCCAACATTCATCCCGCGCACTGCAATTACAAAGACTTAAAATGCGTTCATAGAATCGTAACAAATGATGAATGACGAGAAAGAATAGGAAAGATGGATAAATGATTAAGGGGAACACGATAAAAATAAATCCTAAAGAAAGACAAAAAAAAAATGAACAATGATAAATTGAGGAAAAAAAAGGGACTGACCGTTGGATTTTTTCTACTGTCCTGATGGTGGGTGTTCTCACCGAGGGTGCCACAACGATTTAGCTGTATGTAAAACTCGTAGTAATCCCGGCCAGTACCATTGACGTACATGCAGTCAGGATCGTAAGAGTAGCCTGTAATTAAGAGCGATTGTCTCAGCACGCTCGACGATTCGATGCGCATGGGATAGATCGATATCGATTCTTGTTGTTCAAAGGTACACCACCCCCTGCCACCCCATTGGTACATGCCCCATGTACCCATCTCAAAACAAGTCTCAATCTCTCATGGGTCAGTGTTATGCTTCGCACCAATGATCACCAGCTCCATGAGCGAGTGAGCGAGTGAGCGAGTGAGCGAGAGAAATTCAAATATTTTTAACATCAATAAATTTTTTCATTACTTTGATTCCTATTCCCCGAGCCAATACAGCCAATACATCTCTTGTACTTGTACTTGCACTTGTACCTGTACCTGTACTGAGATTTCACCTTGAGATTACAACTAATCTAATTTTATTCGCACAATTATGATGATGACTGGTCTCGTGTCAGGGAAAATAAACAATGGGAATGAGCATCAATTTTTATTGAGTGGGTATTGGCGATTGGTATTGTTGGGGATTGCGTTTGGCGTTGTCCTTACCAGCGGAATATAATAGACCCGCGAAGGAGCCATTGAAGCCGATTCTTATCTTCATGTAGTCGTCCTGACACTCAGCCTCGATATCTGAAATGAGATGCGATTGGTTTGAATTAATGGAGGGAATTATTTTTCGTTACGAAAAGTCAGAGTGACGGCCAGTTAATGTCTGTCGGATTTAACTGTTCTACTACTTGTTTTTTTTTCAGCTATAAAAACCGCGGATTTTCTATCGATATCACGTCCATCGATGATTAATGCACGCGGGGAGATTGAAAAAGAGATAAGTATTAAATAATAGTGCATATTTTTGTGGGTTCAAGGGTTTTTGAGGGTGAATTCGATGAAAATTTTGATAGCAACGTTTGTTGATGTGGCAAAAGGAATTAGGAAATCAAGGTAAAATCAGATTTTGGCTCGTTATTCACGGTATTCTCTGTCTCGCAATATCCTGAGTGAGTTGGAACGTGTTGAGAGCCAGTTGTGAGGGTTTGGCTTCCGTTTTGGAATCCGGTCATCGATGTACCGAGAGTGAAAGTCAAACTCCCGGTCTTCTTTTTCTCGCTGAACATACTTACAAACTTGACTCCCCTCTCCATTAGTGGTATTTGTATAACCGTGTGTTTGATAAGAAATAGAAGGCTCGAGGGGGAGGCAAGAAGTTGGAAGGCAGTACGACGTAACGACGTGTCTAAACGAGCCGAAGAGATTGCCGGGTGAGGATAGTCACGGTTGGTGAGAGACGAGGGTACCATGATACAATGCTTCTTATAACGATTTTATTACCGAAGGGAGTGCGTACTGCGACGATTGCGTGACGAGTCGTGCTCATTCTTCATTTCTATCCTCTTTATTTTTATTGTACAAGCTTTTTATTCTCCGGCATCGTGCCAATGTGCGAGTCCATCGCATTTTACGCATACCGTTTCACACTGGTAGAAAATTACCCTTTAACAACAGTCAGGGGTCATGAAATTTGTGGGAAGCTATTCAGTTATGAATTTGTTTCTTCTACTGGCGCAGTAGAAAAGGAACGGATGGATGACGGCCAGAAAAATTGTAATCCCAAATTTATGATGGATATTCATTGTAAAAAAAAAAATGCAACTAAACAAATGAGTTTATTATTTCACATAATTATCTGGCTGTATTTCTCCAATAAGAGAATAGCGAAATCCTTAGAGGAATTGAGAAGTGTATAAAATTCGTATAATCTTAAAAATAATTAGTCAATTTTATGATTAATAATAATTTGATGGATAAAAGAAATGAGTAACGACTGAAAAGTAATGTCTCGATTTTCCTCGACGATTTTTCATCAACTCTTATTTTCGGAATTCACCTCCGAGCGCGGAAATGCCATTCCAACATTTCGAATGCATTCCAGAATGCCAAGTATTCAAAATATTCCCGGGAGCCCGTCTAAAATACTCCGTAAAAATAGCGGCTTGAAATACCAAGGGCCTCTGGACCAATCAAAAGGGGTAGGGGGAGTGGGAAAAAAAAAAAATAATTTCCCCCACAGCTAATTCACAACGTAAACGATGCGGAAAGGGTACAGTAATGGAGTGCAAAGGCTCCGTATGCATTCTGACAATACGCTTTCCCTTCTTCCGGGGGCCCCTCAACTCAAACTACTATGCATAAGATGATAATGACGCAGCTACTCCAGGTTGTGTGATGCAGAACGGAAAATCGGTGGTCTAATGCAACTGGCAAAAACTACCGTACAAAAGTACAAACGAAACTAAAACGAGAGGAGGAAAAATAACACGAGAGATTTTAAATATGCAATACGCGGAAGGTACAGCTGATGATCGGGAAAAAGTCCGAGGGGAGGACGTGGTAAAAACTGACCTGTGGTTGTTGCCACTGGTAGGGGAGGGGGGCAAATAGAGGGGCAAATAGAGGGGCAAATACGGTGGGGGGTTAAAGGGGGAGGTTGAGGGGGAGGGCGGGAGGAAGGAATTCGAGAAGGCCGTGGAGGATTTATGGGAATCGGTCGTTCGAGAATGCTGCACTAAACCTATAATCGCTCCTTCTTCGCGTAATTGACGATTTAATTCCACGGACGTTCAGCCCCGGGATTCTCTTCCGGGCCCTATGTGCGCAGTCTCTTCCTCACTGCGAGAATTTTACGGCCCTTCTCGGCTCCTCAAGTTCACTCCTCCAGGCGAGGGGAGGGCTGCATTTTATTTCGAAAATCACTCGGATACCAATTGGTCTAGGGGAAGAGTCGAATTGTTCCCCCCCCCTTTTTTTTTTTTTTGGTCGTTGGCCTTTTTCATGAGGGGTCTTTTGAGACCTATGAAATTATGAAATTGCGGGGATTGTCTGGGTGTACTTTTCAAATACTCAGGATGGCTTGAGGGCGAGTGGTTTTTTACTCCCAGCAGAACAATTCTTTCATTGTTAATTTGAATTTTTATTAAATCGTCCTGAATTCTCAATTAATTAAAAGTTCTCATCTCAAATTTTTAATCAGCTGAACTTTCCATCAATACCTGTATATTTAAATGAACTCAATTATAACTTGTAATTATTGTATTTAAAATATTGATATTCTTCTAAAACTGGCGCTCCCAAGATCACCTAAAATGTATACCAAGAACTTGAATTACCAATAGCTGATCATAAAAATAAGAATAAAATCCCCGTTTCTACGTCTTTAAATTTTTTCCAAAGACCACCGCCGACTCTAATCGATACAATTCCCTTTATTCTCCCTCTTCGAATATTATCGCACTATTTTAAATGCGGAATTCCATTTGTCGGTTGAGAGGTATTGCTCTCTTCATGGCATTCTTTTTCCTCGAGTCCCGCCATCGTAACTATCATCCTGGGCATTTTTACCTGCCGCCGACAGAAATTCATCAACACCGCGTGAAAAACGTCTCCGGTTTCCTCGAAGCCGATGCTATGGGACATTTAAGGTGGACAATGTGCAACAGAAATGACATCTCAAGAGGAAAATAGCAGAAGAGATTTATTCAAATGACACGGCCAACTCTCAGCTGCCCGGCGTGACCAGTCGCCATGGCTGATAATGACGTTGCAATTGAGACGTGCTGTTAAACTGAAGGAGATAAAAAAAAGTTGTTGAGTAAAAAAGAATGAGACACCCTGGCTCCTGTTGCACACGGTGTCAGGAGCGCGCGCTTACGCCTGTACCATTTCCGACACCGTTTTAATTGCTTCTCTAACGGGATTGATCCAGACGTATAATACCATCCTTTAACGTCTATGAGATGTGGGCTAATGTTAGGGGTCCATACGTGCAACTCGTCACGTTATTTGTCTCAATATTATTCTCAGCGTCAATTCTCAAATGCTTCAACCACGTACAGTGGTTTATCACCGCGATCACTTTATGCTTTCAGCTACTTTTAATATATTATTTTATGGACTCGTTACCATTCCGCTAAATACGCACACAAAAAGTTTTTTAAGGATGAAAAAACATTTCCAGATACTACGCAACTGTTTCTGCGATTCTACACATTTTATTGCTCAATGAAACTTTGAATATTGTAGTGAACATTTTTCGCTGATCTGTGGGTTTTATTGGTGTTCAAAGAAGGGATTGTTTTTTTTTTGTTTGTTGTGGGGAATAGAGGATTTTTAATTGGTGAGCTTTGCTGAATTCAAGTTGAGGGAAGATCTTGAAAAATGGTAGTTTATTTTTCAAAGAAATTTTTGTAAAAAGCTGGGATAATTAGAAAGGCTGTCTCAGGAGGAGGATTTATAAAATGGTGAAAAAATGAAATTCTTGAAGACTACGACCTTTTTATGAGTCTTTTATGAATAATGAATTTTCCTCACTAAAATTTGTTTGAGAAAAATGGTAATTTTTTAAATAGTTTTCCGTATTCGGAGTTTCAGCAGAAATTCATAGCAGACTGAGCGATAAAGGAGAGATTTACTGCATGTTTCGAATTAAAAATTAATTAAAATTTACGTCATTGAAAATTCAGACAAAATTTTGTCTGAATTTGTGATGAGTCGTTGATGTGAACCATCAATAATGATCAATGCTTTTGCTTTTCATTTTTGAAATTTTAATTGAGATCATGAACAGATCCGATCATGAAATTTCGATTTTTTAGAATTACCAAATCAACGATAAAATAACTCACGTTGAACTCTGGTGGTGTTCGGTCTATATCTCCTGTGCTCTCGGTCCCAAGTTTCAGGATGTCTTCCCCACTCGTCATCAGAGCTACCAGGACCACTTCCACCCCCGCCGCCACCCCCAAGTGCCTGCAACCCCTGGAGGGTCTGAAGGGCCTGAAGATTCGGACTGAGAGGTCTCTTGAGGGCCGGTACCGGCACATACGACGCACCCTCCCCCACATACACCACCTGCAAACAATTCCAATGATCATTACTCGTTACTCCGCACCCAGGAGTCATGCGGAAAACATGTTTACGATGTTGAGCTGCACCAGGAAGCGGAACTGTCGCGTCATGTGTGTAACCATTCCATTTCATCGGCGACATGTTCCCTGGGTATCAAAAGTCCTGGGGAGATGTACCCCGTCGACGCCCGCGCATTCATGCGTCGATTAACGGTCACGCGGTCGAGATCCAACGTCGCGAGTCATTAGTCGCAGCTACGAACCGACTCATCATCTCGTGTTACATCATGCATTGATAACAGGAGAATGTCTCTAGGAACTATTTCATCACCAACAGATTCCTATTTTTCCACCACTCAAACTTCATCCTTCAAAGAATTTCTTTTTACAATTAAAATATCTGCTGCACTTCATAAAAATTTTTATTGTAGAAATTTTCAGATAACGTGAAAAACCCGAAAAAATTCTAGTACTGATAAAAAAAATTCATTGAAATACAGGAAAGACAATTACAGAATAACTTCTGCAGTATGTGAATACGAGGAAATTGACTTGGAATTTCAAATAGAATTTCTACTGCTGGTGTATCGAATTTATATAAAATTTTCTGTAAATACGGGGAAAATGCGCGTGTCAGCGGTTGAATTTATCTCGAAAGTGTTTCCCTTCGCGTGCCTAATAAAAAATGGGAAGATCTGTACCGGAAGATTCACCCAGAGAATTCCAGGAGTGCTCAGGACACACCTTGGAAAAATCTCAGTCGAAGCCCAACCAACACCTCCTCCCTCCATAAATCCTAATTTGAATATCCATCCGCGAGAACCCCCAACAGCGTGAAGAAGTAAATCAACAGTCCCCCCTGTCTCCATCCACAGCATTCTTTAACTGGCAAATTGATGCATAGAACTGATTTACGACAAACGGTAAACCCATCTGCATCTCAGGACGCCGTTTGCCTGGTGATAAAATGCCCAAGTAATGTAGTTTAGCATTGCGCCAGGTGTATGCAGCAGTACAGGGGCGTTAACCGACGAAGCATTGAGTCTAGTTGTAGTCAAAAGAGAGTGGATTGATAGCCCTGGCACCGCTAGGAGCCATCCTCCATTTATCGTCTGCTGTGTGCCATTGCTACTGTGAAATTTCAGATAAAAACTCGCTAATTCTTCGATTACCACTCACTCTATCAAACCCCAATCACCACAGCGCACCAAAAAATTCCGTTGAAAAATCCCTCAGATTTATCCCCTTCAAGTATTTTTATCAATTTAATATTCCTATCAACCTCTAGAAAAATTTCTGCAAAACTTGCAATCACACTAAAATCGTTAAAGGAATTACTTTTTCGATTCAGTAACTTCCCGAAAATCGATTTTAAAAAAGAGAAAATTGCGGGAAAAATGCGGGGAAAATGAAAAATTTCTATCACTACCCGATGATGGAAGTTGTCCAGAAAACCGTTGGTCGATCAACTATTCAACGACCGGAAACTTACGGATCGGGTGGGATTGCAACGAAAATTCTTTCCCCAGTTTTATCACCGAGTCTGGCCGAGAGCTCGGGCATTTTTTCATCATGATTCTAAAAGGCTAATTAATGATCAAGTTTACTTACAGCATCCTGATCACTGGCCTCGTGGGTAAGGGCTTCTCGTGTTTCTGTTCGATTTGTCTCGTCCTCCTCGGGGCCTGAACCACTTCCTGCCCAGTAGTCTTCAGTTGCATCCTCCAGAATTGTTTCACCATTTGCTCTCTCTGCTTCGGTTGTTTCTAAACCTGTGGACTGGTCGGCAACATCGAGAGGGTTATTGCGGCCCATTTGTTTCGGACTCAGTCGTTTCTCGTTGTGGATCAATTAGGGAAATGGCATCGAGTTCCGGGGCAATATGTTTGCGAAATTGCTAACTCCATCGTTTCAATATTCTTGATGAAGAGCATTTCATCGAAATTATCTCCGTTAGATTCCGAGATATCGAGCAAAAACCTAAACCGTTATCTCTATCCTATTAATTTCTCACATTAATTTCCAAAAGATTATCAAACTTTTATTTTTCATTTCCGATCTCTCATTCCTGGAGTTGTTATCAGAATTCTCGGCAATCCAAAGAACTTCTCAACCCATGAGGAATTCACTCATAAAAATTCTCATCACACCTAGACTCTCATTAAATCCTCATCAGTTCCAAGTAAATTCTTTTACTAATAAAAAAAACTTTTTTATTTTACGATTTACCAAAGGGTATGCATTAATTTATAAATGATCCATATAAAACAGACTTGCGCTCTTGTGATTTTGAAAAACCGTTAGAATAAAAAAAAAAATTAATAAGTTGAAGTTTTTTCAGAGATTATGCGACTCTATGATGTCTTGCCAAGAGCTATTCGATTATTGGAGAAGAAACAGAAAGCAGATGCTAATTTTTCTATTTGAAATTCTTGAGCTTAAATTTTCCAAGTATTCTGAGCATTATCATTGAAAAAAAAAACCGACTGGAATAAGACAATAAAAAATTTAATACCCATAGCGAATTTTTAATGGAATCGTAGAAAACAAATGGACTGTTTTCATAGAATTCTAATAAAACGCGGAAGGAATTTCTCACGGAAAATACAACTTTTTCCATAAAATTCCACCATACGTGCTCTTCTAAATATTTCCGGAAGATGTTCGAAATGGAAAAGGATAAAACCAAACCGAAAGAACATCTTACCCAGCACTGGTCGATGCTTCCGATCATCAGGATCCACGTGAGTCTGCAAATAAAAATAAAATCATAGTTACAAAACACGAAGCAGTGGTGATGAGTTATGAGAACCATAGGTTGGCAAAGGGGATAAATTGAAAGATGTAAAAAATTATCAGTGCTCTAACTCCGCTAATAGATCCAACAAGAAACTCATCTAGTGCAGGGTACCTACAGCAAAAAGTCATCTACATCACGCCTTGGAGGATACCAGAGGGAACATCCCATCGACAGGGAATGTTTTTCCATGAAGAGACTGGCAAAACCCATCCACATATATGGACGACTGGATATTATCCTTCGAGCATAAATGTACTCCACGTACAAAAGAATATCATAGTTGTAAGTTTTGTGATGCTCCACTTCTGTGCACGCTTGAGTTGTCCTAGTATGCAACAAGAGCAATATCCATCATCGTTTTATGGACGGGGTGTAGGGACGAGTCGAACGACCGCGAGGAATCGTTTGGATTATGAGGCTTCTTCCGGGAATGCCCGACGAATCGAATCGGAAACGAGTCATCGCTGGAGGCCCCATGGAGACCAGAAAATTATTGGGGCTCTCTAGCTAAATTGAGAAAATTTTTAATGAAATAATATCGGAATTATCGATACGCAAGCGTCAAATATTTTCTTCAAATATGTCTCCGCAGTCAGGGGCTCTAATCATCATTATCAAGACAATCATGCTGCAAGGGAATTAATTTGGTGTAAGAAATTTAATTCGTTTTTCATTAATTCTAATTTTATTTATTTTTTTTATTTTGACGAGTCCATTACAAAAATCTTGGAAATTTCGAGGAGCTGAATTTGTAAGTCCACAGATGACCGAGTATTATAAATTCGAAATTACGTTACGTATCCCTTCACGACGAGGAAAATTCACGAAAAATTACGTGAGACTTCCGTAATCCTAGTGAAAAGTGTCATTCTTTTACACAGTCCAATTCTTCCATTCAGTTTTATTTTTACGCAATTATTTTTTACAGTGCAAGATAACAGGTGTAAAAAAGATATTTATAAAAATGTCATTCGAAAAAAAATATTTATCCTATTCTCAGTTTACGGTGGACTTTGGGGTCTACTACGGGGCCTTTTTACTTCAAATAAATTTAAAGTGCAATTTGGTGATAGTGATTGTAGGCTGATTACAAACGAAAAGTCGGTGGCCTTCGGGGTGGTAAGCGAACCAAGTGAGAACCAACTGCATCGTGGTTTTGACCTAGTGAGGGTAACAGTCGACTAGCACGCAACCGACGTAATAACATGTAACAGTTCAAGTAACGTGGGTTGACTTGGCCATGCAACCAGTGTCCCAGTGATGGTCTTTTTCCTCTGCCATGCATTCATGTGTAAACTACCGTGTGAGAATAAAATTCCACCGGTTAATACAGAGTCCCTCGAAAATAACGTTGGGCACATGCTGTACGGTTCGCTAAATTAATGGCTGGGACTCTGAATTCAGATATTACACATTGTACACAACTGTTGTTTATGGGCAACTCAACATCCGTTCCCGCCGTTAACACGCGTGTACTTTTATTTTTATTGGCATTGACAGGTTTTGGGAGTGATTGGAATGATTCAGTAAAGGGTGATTACACCTCGACGAGTGATTTCACTCAGTTCCGTGATGTAATGGTTATAAATAATCGGTGGTTGTTGTCAGTCTAATTTTTTTTTTACAATTCATCCACTTCTGTCAAGTAAATTCAATTGGCAAAAGTAATTATTTAGACTTTTTTTACCAATTTTTTGGGGGAAAATTCAATGTAAGAACGAAAGGATTGGAATTTTTACCAAACGATTTGTGATTTTTAATGATCACTGAATAAGCAAATGGACACAAAAAAATATTGACAGTGACTTCTTTGGTTTCGCAAATTTTTAGGTTTCATGTCATAAAAAGGCAGCGAAGTCGCGGAATAATTGGAATAATTGGAATATCTGAAAAACCGAGATGTCGAGGTGCTCCATGTTTTATTGCCTTCCCTGTCATAAATCTGCAGTTACGAATTTCAGAAATGAGTATCTCACAAAAAATCACAGCAGAAACAATAAATTCAAATTATTCACTCATCTCCATAAGTTGAGTCGTCATTTTCCGCTCATTCAGATGATTGAGTGGCATGAAATCACTCATATTCTTGCAGTTCTGTCATCATTAAATCACGAGACCTGAGAATTTCCCCTGAATGAAAATAAAATGTGAGGGGTGGCTTCCACCGATCAAACGCTCATTACCACCCAATTAAAACTCGAAAATCACCAGAATTATTCATTTAGTTCCAGTGGATTCGTTCCCCTATCCGCAGGGTAACATCACCGGAGAAATATTCATTACCTGCGGTAAAATGTTACGCGGCTAAATGTGGTTAACGGAGCGAAGGCGAAATGCGAGAAGGTCTGAGGCCAATCCAACCACCAGTTCCATCCAGAAAAATCTCAAAATCCAAATGAACAAATCCCCACTGAACATTCTTTGAAAATTGTTCCTGAATTTTCCACGATTTCCCCTTGAAGCAGCAAAAAAAAATATTGAAACCCGTTCCAATTTCAAGTAAAACCCCGTGAAATAATTACAAACGCAGCCTTAAATATAAAACTTTCGTTGAAATACCCCATAAAAATTCTAAGAAATACCGAAAAATCATGGAAAATGATCCTTGAATTTTCAATCGCTGAAAATTTCATAGGAATTTGGAAGTGAATTTTCACGTTCATGTTGAAAAATAATGAAAATTGTGCAATTTTCATATTTCTTCCTCTTGCACCGAATTCAGCGTAATTTTCCGGAAAATTCAGGTGTATTTTTAAATAGTGAGTAATACCCGAAACAAAATCCGCAGGAAGCGGTAGAATAATTGCGTAATGGGGGGCTTGGTGGTGGCATGAGTGAATTGATCTAATTAATGTAAGCGGAGGTTGAAGGAACGGTATACGGTGCCTAGAGGTTCACCTTGCCTCGGGGCGGAGGCCCAACTCGTATCAAGTCACGTACAGTTTCGACTATGGTGATGCCACACACCTGCCATTTACCCATTCGCAAACATCAGGATACAAAGTCCCCATCACTGGGTCAATCTCTCATTTTTTATCAATTTTCATTCGCAAGTCATCTGGATTTTCAATTATATCGATGTAAATGTAACTCAATCGGAAAAGTTAATTATAAATAATTTTCCTCATTGGGAATTAATTATTAGAATAGAATAACATTTTCGGGAAAATTTATCTGGATAAATCTTTGAATTCTCATTTGCCCGACAATTCCACGTGATTTCTCATCACGGAATTACTTCCAATAATAATAATTATTATTATCAATTATCTCAAGGATTTTATTATTTATAATTTAATTTCAATATTTTAATTTCAAGGTTTCCTTGTGAAAAATGTTGATTAGAAGTGAAAAGGGGGTGGAATAAATATAAATATGAAAAATAAAAAATTCGGAGATTTCGTGCGTTTTCCATCCTAAAATGGAAAAAATCGGAATTCTCACGTACCGGTACATATTAAACCCATCGAAACTCCCCGGAACGAATGCTATAAGACCCCCAATCACCCAACCTCCGGTAAATTGAATGGAGATCACCCGAGATAGATTAACGAGGCCATGAATAATACCCCATGATGGTACCACATATCCTCCTCATTCACCTCATCTATTTTTAACGAGTAAAAACCCACCAACTCGCTATTCCCAAGTTAGTTAATCCAACCTGCATGCCCATGAGAAAATGGTGGGGTTGAGTTCAGGAAGACTAATCTGTCATCGTTATCGTTAACCTGAATCGTCCCTGAGTACCGCGAAGGCGTGCAGGCCCGCCAGGCTAATTATTATCATAAACCCACAGAAGAGGATCACAATGAACTTGACAATGTTCGTCAAGCCCCACCACCTGGATTTACCTTGTTAACGAAAAAGAAAGAGAAAAAAGTGGAAAGATGAATGGAGGTGGAAGACGAGACCCCGAGACCCCACCATTTTAGGGTCGTGCCGTGTACTCCCCAAAATGGCGTCCACCCATGCGCAGTTATTCGGGATGATTCAGCTTGAAAAACCTTCGCACGGATGAATTTGCATGGAGAATGCAATTAACATGAGAAAACGGATAAGTGAGTCAAGGTGGTGGTGGGTTAACGAGGTAAAATATCCATTGTACGTGTGTGCATACTGAAACTGTTCTTTTGGCGTTGAAAATGCTGAGACAAGTGGAGTATTTGCCCTGTTGGCTGTTGTCTGGTGCTCGAGTGAAAGGAGGAAAAGAAAGACAACGATTGTGGCCGATTGAGAATAGTCAGAATGGAAACAGGGGAAAGGAGATGATGCTGACTACGTTACGCTACTTCAGGAAGAAGTTCTTAGCCTCGGGGTGAATTCGCTCGAGTTACCGTTGGACTTGGCAGGCGACGCCAAGGCGATATTGAAACGTAGATTAGGGGACAGACCACAGGGGAAAAGGGGAATATGTGTGGTGGATAAGTCGAGATTAGCGAGAGAAACAAAAGTTTAAATATAGTGGAGTCTAAAGTTTGTAGTGAGATGGGGAAGGACTCGGTGGCCTCGGGGCCTTTTAATCTACCTCCTGATCGTCTTCAACGGTATCATCTGGGCTATTGGCGCTTGATGATACCTGGATGATGGCCAGATTGGTGTGAATATCCTCGGGGTAAAAACTTGTCGGGGCAAATGGCATTTGGGTTGCTGTCGTTGGCTAGTCAAGACGAGTAGCAGTCAGTCCATGTTGCTACGTTGAACGCCCTTGCCTCAAGGTCTTCAGGGCACGCTAACACCTGGTTGCTGGTTATGCAATATCTCTGGGTTGGAGAACAGGTTAATTGGTGTGCATGGTTAAATTCAATTGAATGATAAAGTTTCAGGTAACGTGGCCAATTCAACTGGTTGGATGATTTTATGGTAGGCATAACGAGCTGAGTTATGCCACCAGTCGATTTTATTCCGGCACTGCATTTAGCTCGTGCCTGCTTCCTTCTTCAGTGGTGT